GGCGCTGGGCGCAGGGCGCTCGGCGCCGGCCGCAGCCCTTTCGCTTCGTCTTTCCCGCCGCCCTGCTTTCGGCTGGGCTCTTCCCTGCGCGCCTACTGTGCGCGCGCGGCGTGCTCACTTGCGCACAGGGGGCGCTCTGGAGCCCCGCCCGGGCGGCTGGGCTCCTGGGCTCCTAGCGCTTTTCCTAGGGACGCCGCCCCGGGTCAGACCTGGTTGTGTACTTGCAAACTGTGCTTCAGGAATCGGCCCTGGGGTGCCTCCCTGGTTGGCGGTAGGGTTTTCCCCTCTTCAGCCCGGCCCCAGCCCTCGGTCACATGCCGCCGCCTCTTCCCCCGCGGTGGCGGGAGCCCGCGCTTTGTGGCTCAGCTGCACTGCGGTGAGTATTTATAGATGCCACTGCCATCCTGCGGTAGGCAGGGTTTCGGTTACTGCGATGCGCTCCGAAGACCGACGGACGGCTCACGCGCGGCGGCTCAGCGGCTCGTCTGCTTCCGAGACCCGCAAGGAGAAAGCTCTAGGCTGGAGTCTCCAGGCATCCCTGCCGGGGCGCAGTTCTCGACCAGAGGAGACGTGCACATTCAAATGACCCATGCAAAGGGACAAAGCAGTCAAAGGGTCCGGATTGTCTCCTTCCTCTGCCCTCCACCCCCACCCAAGGGTGCTCGCTGATCAAGCCCTGGAGACTGCCCTTTTTGACCTCCCTTTGGCGATTCTGACCACCCTGGGTTGCAGACTTGACATTTCGTTGGCCTACATGCTGCAAAATGTCACAGTGCTGCACTCTGGTAAATTGTTCTGGGGTGGAAGGCTCCTACTGACAGCAGCAAGTGAGTCAGGAGGGGAAATGGAGCTTGCAGAAACTAATTTAGCCACATTTTAAATTTAGCTCGTGCTACTGAGAACCCTGCAGGGCTCCTCTGTGGAACCGGGTTGCAGGATTGAGCCCTAGAATCTGACCTAGGGTGCTAAGGGAAACAATGCTGGGTGAATTCACAAAGTTGTCTTCAGTTTTTCCAACCCCAGCCATTGTCCTTTCGGTATTTTACTGACGCTTCTAATAGCCAGCACCATTAATGGTGTAAAAAAGAAAGGCATTAGAGGTAAGTAAGTTAGTCCAACTGGCTTATTTCTCAAGGGCTCAGTTTAGACTAGCTTGTTTCTCAATGAGGAGACCTCATTTTTTTCAGAACCAGAGGGTCATGGATGTATACTTGTTTCAGTAGGCAAGATTTCAATAGTGGTCTGTGTTTAAACATTACAAAAATCTTCCCTGTTTGAGAAGTTCAAAGTCACACACGGGGTGGAGCTGAGAATGGGTTCCAGATCTGTTACTGCAGGCTTACAGTGCCAGCCTGGCCTCGAAGCGGCTTTCCCTTCAGCTCCTCAGTTGTTGATTAGATTATAGTTGAATTTACCTGGTGGCTTCTTTCTTTTTGAATGTCACATAATACATAGAGCGGCTCAATTCTTGAAAATAAAAAAATCCACCCTGGCTGGTGTGGCTCAGTTGGTTGGGTGTAGTCCCATGTGCCGAAAGATCTCGGGTTGATTCCGGGTCAGAACACATGCCGGGGTTGGAAGACATGCCCGGGGTTGCAGGCTGGATCCCTGGTGGGGGGTGTGCAGGAGGCAGCTGGGTGTTTCTTTCTCACGTTGATGTTTCTATCTCTCTCTTTCCCTTTCCCTTCCTCTCTCTCTAAAATTAATAAAAACATATTTAAAAAGAAAAAAATCCTAATCTTGTCGTTAGAACCCTGTTACACTGCTATGTGAAAATTTCATGCTGGTAACCCAGACCTAAATGTCATAATTTTTTTTGTTCATTGATGATGTATGTGCAACATTTAAACCATTTATCAGTAGAAAATTGAATTTAGTAAGGACTTTGTGGATTTCTTAATTATTTCTCTATCCTAAGGATTTGTGATATGCATGTGTATATTTCCCTGTGGTCACTCCTTTTGTACTGCCCTTGTACAAGGTAAAATGTACCAAAGCCTTTCTTGAATTGCAGCCTTTTTCTCTTAATCTATACAGAATTGATTTGAGAAATAGAGTTTGAGCCCCTCTGAAAGTTCCCTACTGTGTTTAACACCTGTCATTAAAAGTGTGTTCCCCAGAGTTGCCTCTATATGCAGAATGCAAATGCTTGTTAAAAGCAATGCTTATAGAAACTATCATTTGTTAACTCAGTGTGAATTAATATCTCAGTTGCTGAAATTTGGAAATCACATATTTTGTGGATTTTTTAAAATGGAGAATGGGGTTAGGAGTGTGATACCCTGTTAGGCAGAAGGCGTTGTTTTTCAAGGGAAGATTCCCCTTTGGAGCCTATAAGGAAGATGGGAGTGGATGGTGCAAGGCAATGACGGGGCATTAGAGGTGAACTTGAGTTAATTCACGTTTTTGTTAAAGGCTGGGGATCTAAGCTTTGCTTTGAAACTTGTACAGTTAAACAGCCTAACTTATGTATTGGGCAAATACTGTGAGCCAGGTACAGCCATGGTAATGTTGTTTGAGCCTACCAACAACCCGAGCAGGTAGATGCCCTATTTTCTGCTTAAGATGTGAAAATAGAGGCTTAGAGAAGCTCATTACTTTCCTGATATCACACAGCCATTAACTTAAGCTCCTTGTTCTTTCCAGTACATTTTGATATCTAACCTTGAAGGCTTTCCCTGAGGAACCAGCGTCCCAGGTACTCAAGAAGGGCCTAGTGGTTCACGTGGAAGTTTCTGGATCGGAAATTGATACCAGAGCAGTGCAGGAACTCTAAAATGAGGGGACAGGAGGTGGGTGAACAGTGGAGGAGCTGAAGGGACAGACTGGATAATTCTGACAGTAGTTATTCCACAGAAGAAGGAGACAGGCCCTGTAGATAGTGGGAATATAGAGAATTACCAGCATTGATCTGGAAGGGGAGGGGCTGTCACACAGCAGAGCAAGACCTGGCGACTGGCATGCCAGACGAGGTGCCCAGAGGGCAAGAGTGCGGAGGAGTCCCTTGACCTCCCTTGGCAGGCCTTCTGTTGTGAAGATGCCTGGTTAGAATCCTCAGGTTATAGTTGATATAAATTAGGGAGCCGGTGTGACCTGTTTTCATTTTTGTTGAACTTGGCCCTTTGAGGTAACATTTGCCCAATCACTGT